AGACAACATATTTTAATGATCAATGAATAATTATTTTTGCCATGAATATCATTACAAATCTATGAATATTATTAAACGTCATGAATATAATTATCTATTCAATGTCCGCGCCTTCCATGTAATTTCTGGACATGTGTTGAGGAGATGCTGGGGAAGGAAGAGAGGCGCAGCTCCACAAGAGGAATCACTTTTTATGAGATCAATGAAGAAACTACACCAAAAATTTGTTAAAAATGATAAGTTGAAATTGTCAGATGAGAATAGAGAAGTAGTTGCAAGTCTCAGACTCTATTATAAATTGCAAAAGTTTAAATATCAATAGTAAGTCAAATATGGCAAACATCACTATTGCCATTAATTACCCACAGTGACAATGAGAGCCTACAAATCTTTTTTTGTTAAGGAAAATGCTTCATCTGCCATTGCAAAGGAACTTATATCTAGATGCCTCTGGAGCACTCAAGTAAGTATCATTCAAGAGTAGTTAGTGAGACAATTGATATAACTGCACCTAATGTAGAAATGGCTTTCAAGAATATATTAGGCCCTTTCATGCCACTCCACAAAGTTACTAATAATGATTTCCTGTTAGCATGAATCACTGATCAATGTGTCCCATTCGACAGCCTTGTTATTAGTCTCGCCCCGCCCCTTCGCTTACCTGCGGAGGAAGGGTCTGGTGACACTGCTATCTAAAATGTTTGTACATAAAATGAACTGCCACGAGTGACGTCATGACTTGTGGGTGTGGTTCCACGTGATGATCATGTGACAGGAAGCGAGCACGTTTCTACACGTTGAGATGGCAAACTGCTTTCTCTGTGGTGCTCTTCTTCAAGCTGGACAAAGAAAGTGTTTGAAGCCTATGGAAGATGAATTACTTTGTGTCAAGGACATTTTAAAACGGAAGTATGTTTTCTCAGAAGAAGATGTAGGAGCCTTTTTGTCCAATGGAGTCATTTGTAGAAGAGGAAAATGCCAGACAAAGCTAGCTAAAACTGTGAGGCTGAGAAAGGAGCTTGAGAATTTGGAACGTGAGATTATAGATAAGATTGGTGGTTTGATTGTAGAGAATGGCTTTGTATCAAGTGAAACTGGGAGCTCATCTGCTGATGTAGTCGAGACTACTGCTGATGTAGCTCAGATGGTCACAGAATCACCACACACGCCACAGGTTGACAGTGCCAGTGAGACTAATAGTGCAGGAACTTCGTCCTACAGACAATCACTCCTTTTTAGAACACCAAAACGTAATAAGAAAATTTCAAGAGTTAGTGTAAGTACAATACAAATTAATGTTCTTATAATTTAAATTATCTTTCAGGTGCTTGTCTATAACAATGGTAAAGGTCGATTATATCCACTACCACCATCATTACAGAGTAGCGGTAGATGTCTGGGTAGGAGAAACAGAAAGTCCTTAGTAAATCAAGTAATGAAAGACAAGAAGATGAGAGGAATGATCATGAAGAAGGTTGGAATTGTGTTACAAAAGGAGATCAAACAGCTGTGTCGTTCTGGTTCCTGCTTTTCAAATAAAGAAATCTCTTATTTGGAAACATTTGATTGGTCTGCCGTAGCAAAAGAAATGCAAGCTGTTTCCCCTTTTCTTTTCACCGTATTGGACACATCAGTTAAAAAGCCACCAGGTCTTGTCAGAGACATTGCTGTTGTGTTTTGTACTGCTGTACTTGTACGGACTCACAGTCAGCGGGCAAATAGTATTCAGCGATTGATGTCCTTGCTATTATACTCAAGTCATGCTCCAAAACAGGTTTGTATTTAATGTAACTGCAATAACAATTGCTTCACTCAATTACATAGCTATACTCACGTCTCTCTAAAGTTGGAATATGTTTGTCACACAGAACAACAACACGTCTCATTGACCGTATAGGTATTGGGTTTGATGCAAGTGTAAAGGAGTGGTGTAGTGAAATAACTAAACACTTATGGAGTGATAGGTATTGCTTTATCAATTAATAAAACTGAACTATTAAAACTTTTTTGTAGATTGCAGGTGAGTGCTAATCTGGATGAGTCTCCAGAAGTGAACATGAATACAGATTCACCAGCAATGTGTATCAGTTTGGAAGAGTCACTGGCAGCATTAGTCAATGAAGATGAGTCTACAGGAGAAAGAGAAGAGTCAGATGTGGAAGGATCAGTAGCTGTGAGCATTACATTAGAAGATTCAGTTGTTCCTGAAACTGAAGCTTGCCATACTGAATCTGAAATGTCTGTTAAGTCACCATCAGATGTAGCTTCATCGTCATCATGCATAACTCAGCCACCTTTTTCTGATGTATCATTACTGGAGACTTCGGGTACCAATGACAGTATATTAAATGAGATATCACCTGCCATAGTAACTATCCCTACATTCAAAATAGTAGGTGATAATGTAGACAAGTACGTGAAACCGAGACATGAAACTTTTGATAGACATGCTTCTTCACTTCACTACTTCCATTCGTTTGCTGTGAAAGACCGATGCAATATGTCCAGTTTTGAGGACAATCCATCACTTCCTGACCTTGCCAGCTTTTCTCCAGATCTAATCCTTCCTAATGCTTCAGATCTAATCCTTCCTAATGCTTCAGATTATGAATCTTTGATTGATAATTACAGTGTTCTAGCAGCAAGGATCATTCAGAAGCATGTTCCATTTTTTAAGAAGAATGTTACCAAAGTTGTTAGGCACATACCACACATTTACTCATCAGCAATGTCTCAACCATCTGAAGTTGTAAGTACACATGTACATGTATAATAAAGTTTTCCCTACATTATTTACATGTAATTACTTTGATAGGTTCCCTTGGGAGTGCTATACAAGAATGAAACATGTCATGAAGACATGATAGACATCATGTTGCATCTACAAAGTTATGTGCCTAAGAATTCAACAATGGAGGAGGTACATAACCCAGCCACCGAAGAAATTTTCACTATATACAATGACCAATTTCATTACACACTATTGGGAGGAGATCAGCTAACTGTAGAGAGGGCAGTAGGGAGTAAGAAAGAAAGAAGCAATGAAAGCCGAGGAATAGAGAGATTGGAGGGGTTTATTCCAGTCATAGAGGACTGGCACGCAAAAGTTGCATTGCTAAAGGTATATTAAATATAATAACAATAATAAGTAAATAATATCTTTAAACAGGCAATTTGGAAAGTGCTGTATAAATCATCTTCAGGCACGGATAGCTGTACTTTGTTTCATTTAAGAAATTTATTAATGAGAAGAAGTGTGACCACGAAGATCAAGTCTGATCCAACGGCTTGCGAGGAGTTTTTTGTCCTTGTTTTGGAGGCACATATTCTCAGCATTGCATTGAGTGCCTTTGATTTAGAGTCTCTAGATGACACACCAAAGTCAGCAATATTTTCCAAGGAGAATTTCTTAGATGCATCATCATCACAACGTAAAGAGATATTTATGTCATCAGTGAAGGAGTTAGTGTCAAGCAATGTCTATGAACTTGTGTTAGGAAAAGGTATTAACGAAAACGACAAAGTGCTTGTTTATGGGAAAGAGCTGTTATCTTTAGGCATGCTATACCTAGAATTTTCAGATGCCATTAAAGAAGGTGATGGTACACGACTTCTCTGCTGTTGGAAATACCTTCTTTTAGTATTCAAGGCTACAAACAAAAACAAATATGCTGTTCAAGCAGCTACTTTTCTACTGCAATACAACTTTGTTTGTACTGAAAGGATGAGAAACCAGTTATTGTGGAGCCGTACCATCAATACATCAGGACGAAGAGGGAAAAATATCCCAATGGACCTCCATATGGAGCATTTGAACCGAGATCTGAAGGGAGCTATTGGTCATCTTTCATCAAATGTCAATAAGACAGCAATAGATAGGATCGCCAAATCACTATACAAGTTATCAATCATTAAGGCCAATTTCGATAAACGCTCTGAAATAGCAGAGGAGTCTAGCTACCAGTCTACCCCCCCTCTTTCGAAGGACCTCAAACAAGTTCTAGATGAAGTCATGAAGATCGATGTTTTTAAAGAAAGAAAAGGCAGGAAACACTCTCAATTCAAAGGAATGAAAGGGAACACTGTAGGCAAGGTTAAAAGAGATGAGATAGTTATGTGGCTAAAAGATCAATTTAAGAGAATGATACGTACATTATAGCTATAAGAAATAATACTGTAATTGAGCAATAGTTATATGCAATAATTACTGTCCTAATTCATGCATGCACATTCATGTAGATTCTATCTCCCACCCCTTTCTATACTTTTGATTTCCTATAATTTATTGTGAAACTTTGTAAAATTTTCTTTCTCTGATTACAAGTTATGGTTATTTTGTGTAATTGCACAAATGTCACAGCATAATGGTCCAACAGGTCTTTCTTGAGATAAATATTCAAAGTCTTTAAAAAGGACTTCTCTTCTACAAAGAGTGGTATTTTTACAATAAGATGTAATACTGTCTTCCATAAAGGAGAATGAAATATCCCGTTTGGAGTACAAAAGCTGGGCCTGTGCTGTCTTTCCATCTCGACCAGCTCTACCTGTCTCCTGGATGTAACTCTCAATATCAGAAGGTGGACCCCAGTGAATAATTCTATGTACATCAGGACAATCTATCCCCATTCCAAAAGCGATTGTAGCAATTACAATTCTTAAGGTTCCATTTGGAATGGAGAATGACTTCAGAATAGCACGCTTCAAAGATGGAGTATTACATGCTGTAAACATGTCCACCAACCTGAAACTAGGGTAGCCTGGCAAACCAATTGGGTGCGTGAATTCTTTCCCCATTGTCGATCAAATGTAGAGATATAAGTTGCTACAGTCTTGATACGTCCGACAAAAAACTATGGTTTGTTCCATGAATTGTCGAGTGGAACGTAGCTCTTCTACTAGGGGAGCAAATGTTGATTCCAGATCATCAGATTTTTCTGTTACTGTGTACACAATGTTTGTCTTGTCTGGTGGTCTCACTACCAGCACAGGCTTTTTCATACCAAGGATACGAATAACTTCGTTTCTTGTAGACTTTGACGCTGTAGCTGTCAGTGCCATGAAGTGTACTGAAGGTGGAAAGAAACCACGCAAGTCACCCAGCTTACTGAAGTCTTTACGGAACTCTTTACCCCTAATATAACAAGACTAAATGATTATAAATGAACTAAGACATACCATTTCCTCACACAGTGGGCTTCATCAACAACAAAAGCAATCATGTCTTCAAATCAATGATGGACTACGCCAAATGTCTCTCCATTCTTTGTCAAAAAGTGTCTCTGGATTCGTAAAAATCATTTGAAACTTCCCATTCACAATTGCATTCTTTGCTGACTCAGTGTCACCTTTATTTGTGGCAATAACTGCACTTACTCCTTTACTCTTAAGTATGTCCACTTGGTCTGTCATCAGAGCAACTAAGGGACTGACAACTAAAGCAACAGATCCAATATCTTTCTTCAATAAAATATCAAACACTCTAGGGAGGCAGAAATAACAGAGGGATTTACCAAAGCCAGTTGGAAGACAGATGAACACATCATTTCCCTCAACAAATGGAATAATGGCATTTTCTTGATCCCTCTTCAAAGATTCATACCCCAACTGCATAATAGATTGTTTCAAAGCCACTTCTATCTCTTTCCTAGTTAGTTCTTGAGCACTATCATCATTTTTCCTCTTTATACCTCTTCTTGTCTCTGCTACCACCATTTTTTCTTTTCCTGTCATGTGACAATTTTGTGACTCATAGCTTTACATGTGGCTCGCGCAATCTGATTGGAACGCCACTTTTACTGGCATGAAGCACACATTTTAGATAGCAGTGTCACCAGACCCTTCCTCCGCAGGTAAGCGAAGGGGCGGGGCGAGACTACCTTGTTATTAAAGGAGATGAATATATCCTACTGATGACTATGTCACTTTTCATGCAAATTCTAAGCCTGACTGTTTTGTTTGAACAGGAGAAGAGTTGGGGGATTGTAATTGATAGAATGAATGAGCCACAGGATGACGAAATAGATGAAGACACGAATGAAGACACTAATGAAGAGAGGATGCTGAAGGTTCTCTAGGGAATTGCTGGAGAGAGCAAAATGGTGAGTGCAAGGAAATATGGCATAGATGGCAAAAAAATACAAATTAAAAAACTGCATTGGAGAGTGACCTTGACCATTATGGGAGATAACGACCCATTCACCCTACATCTCTTGGATATGTATGTAGAGGAGCTGGAATAGAGAGGAACAGCTCACCATTTTAAAGCACAAGGCACCTCAACAACATTATCATGCACAAAAGGCATGTTGATATAAAAATTTTCTATTCAGAACAGTAGCCAAGGATTCATAAACCAAATTATAGACCTGACCTCCTTAGATTAGAATGAATTAAATCTACTAATACAAAATAAAAGTTCTTACTTTCCCAAATAAGAATCACTTTACATGGTATTTGTGCTATTAGTTGATTATGTATTAATTCTGTTGAGCATCACTTGAGCTACTTCCTATAGTGACTCTGTCAATTCATCAGAGAATGAGAATAGCCACTATTCAGTTGGTGAATGCTGCTTTCTTAGCCAGGCACCCACTGTCAAGCCACTGCACATCATCAGACAAGTGTTAGTGGAGTCCACTTAAGAGTTTTTCTTAATATTTATATTTGTTATTAAACAGTTATTATAATTGAAAATTGATTTTTAAGTTTATTTATTAAAAATTGATGTACTGACGATCTATTTTTGTGTCAATAAAATTATTATTCAATTCCATGGATGCTGATTAATAACACCTCATATAAAAGTCATATACCTCACATAATTATAGCACCAGTGAACCATTTCACTAGGTTCATCTCATTATAACAACTTCTATAAAAGTAACAGTGTGTGTTAAATGGAGATGCTACAGAACATGTTTCAGATAAGTGAGCTGCTCTCCTGACCTCAGGAAGAGTTCCCCCACTAGTCTCCGTTTTAAAGCAAGTTCGTTCTCCTTGTTAATTATGTCTCGCGGCCATCTTTAAAGGATTATAACTCTTTTTCATTTTTTGGAGTAAAAACGACAATCATTGTCTCCTTTAATGTCCTGCTCTTTCTGTTTAACAAGAATCTAACTTG